CAAAGCTGCCAGTGGGCGTATATTACCTTGCCTTGTAAGCTATCTTTAAAACATTTATCCAAATTTAATGATTTGAATTTTAATATAAAACTACCCATGTCACATATCGTTAAGGAGAAAAAATTAAGTACATCCTTATTATGAAATCCACATTTATAAATACTTTTGATGTTAGGTTCAGAGTTTGAAATTTTCATTTTATTTTTCAAAAAGAAAAAGATTCAATCAAATGAAAATGAGTTTTTAAAATAAAATAAAAAGGTTCAATCAATTCAAAATGAGTTCCTAAAATTAAATAAAAAGATTCAATCGATTGAAATCGAGTTTCAAAAATTAGTGAAAATAAATTGACTTATTGATAATCAAAATGAAAAGGAGTTACTACAATTAAATAAATTGATAAAAGATTTGCAAATGCAAAATCCTTATTATTTAACATTACCCTTTCAATATAGAAAAGTATAGATTTGTTGCAACGGAGGTATAGTTAAAGTGGATGATGAACTTAATCCTTTTTTGAGAAAGATAAAGATTACTATTTGATTTTTCGAATGGTAGCGTGGTCATTATAATATTATTTCCTTTTAAATTTAAATAAAAAATCAATAATTATTTCTCAAAATGTTTTTTATTTTTATGTTTGTTCTGTTGGATTTTTTGAGGCTTGTGTAGGAGTCACACCTATAGATGAATGTATTGTGTTATTATATTCGTCGACAACAATTGGTAATATTTTAAGCCATTTTTGGGAATTCAATTCTGTGAACTATTTGAATGATTTGGTTTTTTTTTTTGGAGTTCTATTAAATCTCTCAATAGCTACACCATCGTTATATGTACTGTAAATTTCAAATCCCAGGGATTTCAGTTCCTTTATCTTCCCTTAACGTTTTGGATTGTCTGTCAGATTGTTTCAATATTGTTTCAAATCCCTGATTGACTAATATTCCTGATTTGTTTTTTTTAGAGACATAACCCATTCATATTGTGATATACTTGACAGTCATATAAAATGATATGTGCTTCGGACTAAATTACATACTTACCTTGTGGTCTAAATCATACAAGAGTTATTTCCCTTAAATGAATCTTTAGTTGTAAAAGTTAGTTTTAATAAATATGTAAACAATGATGGTTGATCAA